TTCATGCTCTGTCTCTCTTTGTCCCAAAAATAAAAAAATAAAAAAAATAAAAAGTTGAAAAAAAAAAAAGAATGAGACAAATGGAAGGTCCGGTTCCTGTGTCCGCCCTGGCCACCAGTGAACAGGCGATCACCCCAGCCATGTTCTCAGTCTCCCAGGAGAGGGGGAAATGGGGAAGAGATGTAAAAAAGAGAAAGGTAAGGAGAGAGTAGTGTTGAGAGAGAACATGGATTGGGGGAGGGGGTAGGTTTGAGACACTTCATTTTCACTCATTTGAATGACTTTTTTTGGAGACTTGCACCCCCCCCCCCACTTCTACACACATGCTCCATTTCCCTGTCCATAGCTCCCTCTTTTAGGAGAATGAATACAATGTATGCACAGTGCAATACAGCACGAGGGGGGCGGGTTAGTGGAGCCTGGCAACCTGGGTTCAAGCCCCAGTTCATCATTTCATTTGCTAGCTGTGTGACCTTGGCAAGTCACTTAATACCTGAGCCTCAGCTGCCCCGCGCATATAAAGTGGGAATAACGCTAGCGCTACTTTCTAGGGTACTGGCAGAGATTAAATACATGAAGCCCCTAGAACAGTGCCAGGCACTTACAGTCTATTGCGGCCTACAGGTACGCAGATGTCCCGCTCCATTTCCAAGTTCCTTTTCCACCTGCCCAAGCAAGGGCAAGTATACAGAAGAAATGGGGGATCCCTTTCTGACCCCACTGCCGGTCCCTTGAAACTCCTCTGTCAGACCTTCTAGATCAAGTCACTAGCCCCAGCACCCTAACTTTAACTGCCCCCCAAGCCCCCCTCAGTTCTCTTCTGCATGCACCCCTGTGCCCCAGCCTGTTAGCCTTTCCTCACAACAACTAAGCTGTTCTCCCCTCTTCCAAATTCCCAGAACCGGGGTGGGTGGGTTTGGGCCTGGGGCTTCCCTCCTTCCTGAAAGGGGCATTTAAAACTCCACCACCATTTCTCAAAAGGTGAACCCAGCAGGGGTACCTGGGTGGCTCAGTTAAGCATCACATTCTTTTTTTTTTTTTTTTTTTAATGCTTATTTATGTAGAGTTGGGGGGAGGGGCAGAGGGTGAGAGAGAATCCCAATCCCAAGCATGCTCCATACTGTCAGTGCGGAGCCCTGCTGGGGGGCTTCATTTTACCAACCATTGAGACAAGACCTGAGTCCAAATCAAGAGTCAGACACTTAACCAACTGAACCATCCAGGCGCCCCAAGGAACTGACTTTTGATTTCAGCTCAAGTCATGCTCTCAGGGTTGGTGAGGTTGCGCCCTTGCATGGGGCTCTGCACTGACCGAGAAGAACCTGCTTGAGATTCTCTCTCTTTCTCTGCCCGACACCCCGCCCCCCGAATAAATACATAGACTTAAAAAGATGTGAACCTAGCAGATAACCTTGGGGCATTTGCTCAAAGTACAGATTTTCCATTTCGTGCCAACAGAACTGTATCTGAATTTGGGGGAAGGGAGGATTTTTAAGTACACATTAAAACTGAGATTTTAATCACAATTAAAATCCGTCTCCAAGAAAATAATCATCGGTGGGAGGTAGGGGCTTAGCGTCCCAAAGCAGGCAGGATGGTTTGTTAGACAAGTGTCTTCCCCAATTCAGGCAGGCTCAGCAGCAAAGAGAAAGGGACAAGGACTGGGACCAAAAAAAAGTGAGTCCTAGAAAGCTGGGACAAAAAAAGTGAGTCCTAGAAAGCTGGGAGCGGGGCGTGTAACTCCTTTCAAACCCCTCATCAACGTCCTCACCAATTACTTGGTGCTGAGGGAGTCGCAGTCCAGGAGCCACTGTCTCTCCGCCTCTCAGAAGCTGGAGTGGGGAGAAGAGGGCGGCTCTGGGCCATCTGCGCGGGGGTGGAAAGTGAAGCCCAGAAGGCGACGGGCCTTGGTACAGAGCTGCTGCGGACCTTGGAATCCCGAGGCTCTGCTTCCTGACCCCCTCCCCCCAACCCACCAATCCCCCCCCCGCCCCCCCGCAGGCAGCAGTCCGCGAGCACGAGGTGGGGGCGTGGTTCTATAAAACCCTCTCTCTTCCGAAGCTCAGCCACAACTCCGGCCCCACCCATCCTGGAAAGCAGTCCTTTCCTCTGGCCTCAGTTTCCCCACCCGCGCCCGTGTGTGTGGGGTGTGTGTGTGTGTGTGCGTGTGTGTGTGTGTGTGTGTGTGTGTGTGTCGGGGGGGGGTAGGGTGGGGAGGGGGATTCCCCACGGGAAAGCAGCCCAATCCCTCCCCCGGACTGTTCGAGACCCTGAACCGAAACAGGAGGCAGGACGCCCCCGGCCGGGAAGCGGCCCCAGCCCGGATTTCCCTCCCGGGTGGGGCCGCAATGACTCACCCCCCTCCCCCTTCCCCTGGTTTCCGTGTTTGCATTTCTCCTCCCGGCCACGTGGCGGCCTGCGCGGCCACTCGGCACCCCTACCCCGACACTCCGGCCGCGGCCGCCGCGACACACAACCCTGGGCCGCTCCTGCCCCCCTGGGGTTTCTCAGGCCTCCGACTGGTGCCCGCCCTACAACCCCGGAGTCCAGACTCCACCCCCGGCCCAGCCCGCCCCCTTCCCTGTGCCCTCCCCCACAGTAAGGCCGGGCGCCTCCTCCCTGCCCTCCCAGCCTGTCCCGGGGAGGGGAAGGGGGCGGGCAGCGTAGGGGGTGTGACAGCTCCCGCCCGGACCAGTGCCAGCTGCAGCCTCGCTTCGGCGCCCGGTGCCAGCTGGCTCATTCGTCTGGGACGGAGGTGGAGGCTTGGGGCTCCTTGCCGCTGGGGGGGGGGACTCCCCCCTACGCCCCCTGCCCTCAACCCACCCAAAAGGAGCCTCTACACCCAGCCGGTCGCCCTGGCAGCCAGTCCAGCTAGGAATTAGCCCTGTTCCGCTTCGTCTGGGGCTTACAGCCCACACCCCTCCAGGAGGAGTAGGGGTCTCGATGAGGGTCTCCCCCTCCCCAACCTTTTGCTAGAGCCTGCAGGGCTGTGCAAGCTTGAGAAGGACCATGAAGGTGGGTAAAGTGGGGTCAGGGTGGGGAGGAGCAGGAGAGGAAGCTGACATGGTGGGTGGGGTGTTTGGGTGGGAAAGAGAGGGCTGGTCAGGGGTGAAGGAGAAGGGGCGAAGAAGGGTTGAGCTGCAGCTGCATTTCTGGGGGATCCAGTGAGTCGGTAGCCTCATACTGGGAGGTGGTGGAGATCCCTCCAGGGACACGGGCAGTGGGGTGGGGCAGAAGTCCAAAGAAGACCGGGAAGAAAGGCCTGATCTCCGGTCCGCCAGCTGGAGACCCCTAAGCGCGCCAGACCGGCAGGCCCCAGTGAAGGTCTTCCTGTCCCTCCCCCGGCTCCTGGCAGGGTTGCAGCACCTCCGCCTGACCAGTCCAGAGGACTCAGAGGAAGTGGTTCTGCCTGGGGCAGTTGTGCCCTGGTCCAGCTGCCCCAGTCCCAGTCCCAGCCCCAGCCCCATGGCTCTCTGCCTTCCTCCCTGCGTCACAGGTGGGCTGGCCAGGTGAGAGCCGCTGGCAGGTGGGCCTGGCTGTGGAGGACAGCCCAGCTCTCGGAGCATCGCAGGTGGGAGGCCTCCCGGACGTGGTGCCGGAGGGGACCCTGCTCAACATGGTGCTGAAGAGGATGCACCGGCCCCGGAGCTGTTCTTACCAGCTGCTGCTTGAGCACCAGCGCCCCAGCTGCATCCAGGGGCTCCGCTGGGTAAGTGCCCATCGTCTGTCGGGCCAGGGCCAGGCACCAAGAACTGCAGGAGGGCCTGGACTGGGAGAAAGAGCATGCTTCTGGGGGTGTGGGGGCTCCTGCTGGGCTGGACAGTGGGTCAAGCAGCTTGGCCGCTGTGCGCGTGGGTGGCTCACACAGCTGCACCGTGTACGTCCATGTGCATGTGGTACTCGCGTCTTCCCGTTGTGGCCTGGGGGAAGGGGAGAGGGATTTGTCATTTGTGTCACCTCTGTGTGCCCTGAGGTGGGTGGTTGTGTGTTCTCCAGGTGGTGAGGGGAGGCATGTGTGAGACGCTGGGGGCCAGGTCAAGGTGGGAGGTGAGGTAAACTTGTTTACTGCTCTTGGTACATCACCGTGGCAACATGCTCCCTCAGTGAGCAACAGAACTGCGTCAATTCTGCTTGATCTTGGGGTGAGGTGGTCATGTGAACAGTGCTTGGCATCTGGCTTTGGGGGGCTCGGGGGGGGGGGACTCTGAGAAGTTTGGAGACTGGAGCTGGAGTCTCCCTTTGCCAGTGAAGAACATCCTGGAGCTGCGAGAATGAAGGAGAGGGCAGGAGGGGAAGAGCAGTGGGGGCGGGGTGGGGGACAGGATAATGGTCGCAGGATCCAAATCAGCGGAGAAGCTCTCTCCAACCACCCAGGCTTCACCGAGTTCCTTCGCCTGAGATTCAGTGAGATTCAGTTGTGTGTCTGTTCTGTTGCCCACGGGGACAGCACTGGCAGGCGGCTGGGGGAGGGGGCGCTGGTACCAGGAGGGAACTTGGGCAAAGGGGTCGAGGGAAAACCAGAGCAGACGACAGAATTGGGAGAGCTTGTCACTTATGTGTCTTGTCGTCAAGTCCCTTTGAGTGGAGTGACTACCACCTTCTGCGTCTTTCCTCCCACCTCTTGCCCAATGGTCTTTATATTTATCAAAATTGGAGGCTGAGTGAGAAAAAACAAGGTCTGCGGAGGTGACGGGCTCTTCCTCAGCGTCGTCGGAACTGGGAGGATAATCTAGGTGTCCCTAGCTCTCCCCCCCAACCCCTCCCGCACTCCCTCCCTGGGTCTTCCTGGTCAGGGCCCTCTTGGGCCTGGGTCCTGCTCGAGATGGGGCTCTGGAGGGAGCAGGGGAGCTGGCCCCTTCTGGGCTAAGCTGTCTCCCCCACCGGGCCAGGTCACTGGTAGTAGCTATTGCTTGGAGCCCGTGGGCTGGAACCCTCCCTCCCTCCTTCCCTCTCAGTCTATAATTACTTGTGCATTTCCTGTCCCCTTCCCAGCTTGTAGAGGCAAGGTGGTGAGTGGGGGAAAGGTCAGGTGCCAGGACAATGAGGTCACTGGAGGATCCCTTGGGACCCAGAGTCTGGGAAGGGGTGGAAGAGGCCGCCAGGCTGTCTCCGGACTCCCTCAATCCCCGGAATTGAAGAGCTGGGGTGCACGGGGAAGCCAGAAGGGCGATGTGAGGGTTGCTGGAGTGTAAATAGGGCGAAAGTCACAGAAACACAGCCCCTCTCTAGCAGGTGTGTGTGTGGGGTGGGGTGGGGGTGGGGGTAGGTGGGAATTGGTGATTAAAGGGTACTTAGATTTTTAGGGCTAGGGGCCTGGGCCACACCCCGCCCTGCTGACCGTCTCTGGGGAATGGGTGAGTGGGGTGGCTTCAGCCCGCTGCGGCTGCATTTAAGAGGTTCTGGGGAGCGGTCAAGTCGCTCCTCTCACCTGTGAGATGATTCGTCTGGTCTAGGGGGGGCTCACATGAGGGAAGAAGGGCTTGTCAGGGAGTGTGCACATGTAGGGTAGGGGGTGGATGTTGTAAACGGGTGGAGCCTAGGCGAACAGTGCTGGGAGTTATTCAGGCCATGCCTGCCTCTTAGAAAACCAGGGGGAAACCCATCAACCTCCTGAGGTCTGAAGAGAGTACTTTCTGTTGCTACTAGATCAGGACAAGAGAAATGAAAGCAGGTTACAGGAGGGTGAGGTTAGACAGAGGACGGACTTACCATTGATGGCAAAAGTGACACTAGGATGGGATGGAAGAACATCTCCTTTGGGAAGCAGGAGAAGGAGAGGAGATCTTGTCCAATGCCCAGGAGCCAGAGAGGGATCAATTTATCTGGAGGCAGGGGCAAGATCAGGATGACCTCTGGGGGGGGGGGGGTCCCGTAATCTCAGAGAAGCCTGGGATGCTTCCCTTTGAGCGATTGTTTGGGGAGAGGTGGCCAGATTCTCTAACTCAGAAGACATGCTTTCACGCTAGCGTGTTCAAACAACGGTAGTAGCTAATAGTTGTATAATACTTGTGTCCCAGGCAGCATTATAAGAGCTTTACCTTTTTCATGTCAAGTGAGCTGACAATAGCCGTGTGAGCTATAGATACCAGTGTCATCGTCTCCTTTTGTAGATGAGAGAACAGAGGCACAGAGTGGCTAAGTGACAGGTCCAGGGTTGTACATCGGCTAAGAGATACAAAGTTAGGCTTCTGTCCCAGGTGACCTGGCCATGGAGTCTGAGCTCATGGTGCACTTTCTTTTGCTGTAAATGAAAACACTGACACCCCAAAGCATCACCCTTCCCCTTGCGTCCTCTCCCTGTCCCAGCACACACAGCCCTGGCCTGATGCCCTAGCCATGGCCTAAGGGAACTGGTCTGACAGGTCCCCACGAGGCTCTCTGGCTCTGTGCCTGCCCCTTCAGCGTGGCTCTGACACTGAGTGACAGGGAGGGAAGGAGGGGGGGGCAGGCTATGGCGCTGGTGCAGGGAAGCTAGCTACCCCCTCCTCTCCTACCCTGCGTCCTTCCTGTCCAGGCAGGAGAGGAGGCAGTGGTCAAGAGCCTTCCCCCCAGCCACTTCTTTCCAACTGAGAACCCCAAGCTGACGCTCGGGGTTATCACATCAGAGAGAGGGTCAGCCAAGGTACAACACTTCTTTGCATTGTGTCCAGGTAATAGGCACCCATCATAAAATAACGAAGTTTAATCGAGTTGCTTAACATTTACTAAGCGGTTACCACAAGCCAAGCATCGCTTTGCGTGCTTTATGTTATTAACTCATTTGATCCTCATAATTACCTGTGACATAGCTACTATTATCGCGAACCCCATTTTACAGATGAGGAGACTGAGGCAGAGAGGTCAATGAGCAGCCAGGGTCACACAACTAGCTGGGTCACACAACTAGGAACTGAGATTTGGCCGAGACACATGGATGGCGAGCCCATGCCCTTGACCGTATCCTGAATAGTACCCCCACCCCCAGCCTAGGAGGCTCCCAGTGCATATGGACGTAGTCCCAGAGGGACTATGACAAACCCACAGAACTTTGTTTAACGCCGTGTCTTCCAGACTTACTTGCCCGTGGAACATTCCTGAGGGCAGAATTTACCCTTCCATAGCATGAAGTGGGACAAACATGAGGCAGTGGAGGTGCCTGGGAGATGGTGGCCTGTGCTTTGGAATCAGATAGGCACAGTGTGAATCCTGGTGGCCCTGTTTACCCACTCTCAGGACAGGTTATGTAACCTCGGAGCCTCCTTCTGTCTAGCTGTGAAACAGCAGACAAACACCTACTTTCGGGGCCACTGTTGGTTATTCAGTAGGATCTTGAATTTCTGAGTAGTTGTGTGACTCAGGGTAAGTTACTTCATCTTTTCTGGGCTCCTGCTTTCCTTGGCAAATTGGGAGGGATGCCTTCAGGAAACTTCCTCACCTCTGATGGGTCAGAGCCTCCTTCTTCTGACCCTCCTGCTTATTCCCTGGGGCAGGGCAGGAAACGGTTTAAACAAGGCCTGGAGATCTGGGATCTGGGTTGTGAGCTGGCACCTCCCCTCCTGATGTGCCCTCCAGGGTCAGAATAATACCAGGAAGGGAGCATATGCTGGAGCCTGGGTCGTGGGGCACCAGAGAGTTGGGGCAGGGACCGGGGCCACCTGGGCCTTTTGACATGAACAACAACAAGTCATTAGTGTTCAGCACTGTTTGTTCCAACACAGGGGGCTGGCTGGGTAGCATTCCTGCCCTTCCTCCTTCCCTGGCTCCTCCTCCTCCTCCTCCTCCTCCTCCTCCTCCTCCTCCTCATTTCCTGTTGCTAAGTCTCCAGGGCTCTGTGTCTGGCACCAGGCTGGGCCCCATGACCCGGGCAGGGATACCCTTGGGACACCTAGCGACTTCCGCCCAGCCCCGGGCCAGGCGCCTATGCATGCCAGACCTCAGGCCTCTGCCTGGCACACAGTGGGAAGATGCCAGGATGAGCAGAGGGGGTTCTGGCCCCAAGTCTGGTTGTACCCCAGCTTCCTAGCCAGGTCCTCTTCAGGGGCTGAGTGTAGATGGGAAAGCAGGAGAGAGAGAGCTGGCGAGAAGGGGGACGGGAAGGAACCAGGCAGGTGCGGGTGGGTGGGGTGAGACCAAGAATGTGAGCACTTCTGGAATTTATGCACGGCTGTCTGGCCGTCCCAAGTACGTGTGACTGAGTTACACGGGCTCTTCACCCTAAGACTTCTGTTTCTTAAGTCAAAGAGGACGGACAATCCCTGTTGTGCCTACTTTATATCCGGTCCTATTCTGTAGAGAATCAGGACATCATGGAGGGAGACACACTTTGTAAACTATAAAGTGCTGCGCCTTTGGGAGGGCTCATAGAGGGTAGGGCATCCTGTCCAGAGAGGTCCACAAATTCCAGTTTTCAGGTGGCAGCAAAAGAAGGATCATGAGGGGCGCCTGGGTGGCTCAGTCGGTTAAGCGTCCGACTTCAGCTCAGGTCACGATCTCACGGCCCGTGAGTTCGAGCCCCGCGTCGGGCTCTGGGCTGATGGCTCAGAGCCTGGAGCCTGCTTCCGATTCTGTGTCTCCCTCTCTCTCTCTGCCCCTCCCCCATTCATGCTCTGTCTCTCTCTGTCTCAAAAATAAATAAACGTTAAAAAAAAAAAAATTAAAAAAAAAAAAAGAAGGCTCATGAGGGGCTTTCCAGCAAGCAGCCCGCCCTCTGCTTCACAGATGAGTAATAATAGCTAACATGTACATACAACTCTTTGCCAGGCAGTGCTTTAAACATTCGGTACGAATCACTCACATAACCCTTCCCAAAGCCTCTGTATTGGTATTACGAGTGTTTTATAGAGTTTATGGACAAGGAAACTGAGGCAGGGAGAAGTTAGCTATATGTTCGGGATCACGCTGCTAGGAAATGGAGGATCAGGGATTTGAATCCAGGTGTCTCAGGGTCTTGTGGCTGGGGACAAAGCCTGGCTCAGGATCAGGCCTTGTGACTCTGGCCCAGGAGCAAGTGTTCCAGGCCTCCCTTCCAAGCCACTCACTTCCTGGCCTATCATGGGCCTTCCTTACCTCCCATCCTCATGCTCTTCCGCTCTCTCTCCTGCACAGGTGTGGTTTACCTGGGAGCCTGGGCACACCTGGGCCCTGAGTAAGCAGAACAGGGAGCTCATCTGCGGGGGTGCAGTGCGTGAGTCTAGAAGGAAGGCAAAGTTCTGGTGATAGGGTGGAAGGAGGCGGGTGCCTGGCATACAGGGGTGGTCGGGGAGAACTAGTGTATTTGTTTTTTTTTTTTTTTTTTTCATTTTTGGGGACAGAGAGAGACAGAGCATGAACGGGGGAGGGGCAGAGAGAGAGGGAGACACAGAATCGGAAACAGGCTCCAGGCTCCAAGCCATCAGCCCAGAGCCTGACGCGGGGCTCGAACTCACGGACCGCGAGATCGTGACCTGGCTGAAGTCGGACGCCTAACCGACTGCGCCACCCAGGCGCCCCGTGAACTAGTGTATTTGTTGACTGAGTGTTTGGAGCTGGGGACTGGGCAGGGACTGAGAGAGACGGGGGAGGGCCGAGGTCTAAGAGCTGGATTTGAAGTCCTGGCACTAACGTGCAGACCCTCCCCCTCCTCCCACCCCTGCCCTTAGACGCCACTCACGGACAGTGAGGAGTCCCTGGATTTCAGCGTGAGCCTGGAGCAGGTACCAGCCGGGAGGGGTGGAGCCGGGAGGGGACAGCACCGCCGGGGGGTCAGGGATTGAACCTGCTGTGCTGCCCCCGTCCTAGGCCTCCACGGAGCGGGTGCTCCGGGCCGGGAAGCAGCTGCATCGACACCTCCTGGCCACTTGCCCGACCCTTATCCGAGACCGGAAGTACCACCTTAGGCTCTATCGGTGAGTGGAGGCCTGAGCCGCCTCCTTGCCCACCCCCATTTTCTCTCCCTTTTGCTCTACTTTGGACATCGGGGCTGAGTCCTGCTCCTAGCCTAGGAAGGCACTTGTTTCTTTTTAAAATTTTTTAAGGTTGATGTATTTATTTTGAGAGAGAGAGAGAGGGAGGGAGAGAGAGAGAGAGAGAGCACGCATAAGCAGGGGAGGGACAGAGAGAGAGGGAGAGAGAAAATCCTAAGCAGTCTCTGTGCTGTCACCACAGAGGGAAGGCACCTTTCTGACGGAAAGTCTTCCTTCTGCCCTCCACCCTCCTGCCACTTAATTCTCCCTCCTCTTTGTCCCCTCACCTCTTGTAGGCAGTGCTGCTCTGGCCGGGAGCTGGTGGATGGGATCTTGGCACTGAGCCTTGGAGTTCATTCCCGAAACCAAGCCGTTGGAATCTGCCAGGTGCTCCTGGATGAAGGTGCCCTTTGCCATGGTGAGCCCGAGCCCAGGGTGGGGCCCCCGTGGGGCCGGCCGGTCCTGGGGAGCAGGCATCCGGGGGTGCCTGCAATTGCAATGGGGGCTTTGTACCCACGCGGCCTCAATTTCCTCTCCTCACACCTGGGCCTCTGCCCTGCAGTGAAACACGACTGGACCTTCCAGGACCGAGATACCCAATTCTACCGTTTCCCCGGGCCAGAGCCAGAGCCCGTGGGAGTCCATGAGCTGGAGGAGGAACTGGTGGAGGCTATGGCCCTGCTCTCCCAGCGGGGGCCTGATGCCCTGCTCACTGTGGCGCTTCGAAAGCCGTGAGTCGGGTGCCCTGCACCCCACAATCCTGGGCCTCACGTGGCTCTCAGACTCTGTAGTTTCTCAGTTTCATCGCTGAGAGTTTCCCTTACTTCTCGCTGGGTCATCTGGAGTCTTCCTTCCCCACCTCTGAACCCGTTTCTTCCTCTGTAACTGTGGGTGGGGGGCACAGCACCTCCAAAGACCTGTCCGCTCAGGTGCCGCAGTGGCTGAGGCGGGGGAGCTTTGGAGTCTGCAGGCGGGTTTGGGTTCAAATTCCAGTTCCGCTGGCTACTAGCTGGGTGGCCTTGGGCCTCTCCGTGCCTCTCCGTGCCAGCTTCCTCTTCTGTCAAAGGAGGATAACGATGCCCACATCAGGGGTTGTCATGAGGGCAGAAATAATGCACTTGAAGCGCCTAGCCCTTGTCTGGCACGCCGTGTGCACTCAGTGGTGGCTGGCCTGTTACGGGGAACAATCCAGCTGGCCTCGGGCCCGGAGCGTGGTGGGTGTAGCGGCTCCCGTGCCCTTAGACCCACGGTACACCATGTGCCTCCCGGCCCTTCCGTGCCCGCAGCCCAGGTCAGCGCACAGACGAGGAGCTGGACCTCATCTTTGAGGAGCTGCTGCATATCAAGGCCGTGGCCCATCTCTCCAACTCGGTCAGTCTGCCCACCCTCACACTCTCCCCAGGACCCCCTCTCCCTGTGAGCCCCTGAGGCCCCAACTGCTGGGCCAGAAGACACGTCCCTCGCCTTGTGCCAATGGCTGGGAAATGTCCATCTAATTTCTTGTTCCCAGCATCCTCGTCCAGAAATCCTTCTGCCTCTCTTAGCTCATTTCCTCCCCTTGCCCTGTATCTTGCTGAATCCCTGGCATCCGACCTAGCCACATCTCTGCCCCCAAGCACTTGTGTCTTTGGACCTAACCCCCCCCCCCGCACCCCGCCTCGTACCCTGGGCTCACCCCACTGACCCTCCTCTCCCCACCTCACAGGTGAAGCGGGAATTAGCAGCAGTTCTGCTCTTTGAACCCCACAGCAGAGCAGGGACCGTGTGTAAGTCAGACAGGGGATAGGAAGCTGGGCAGCAGGGACCTGGACGTGGCAGAGGCCATGGAGAAGTGGGGGATGCCCACAGGAGTGTCTGATCTGTGCTTCTCTCAGTGTTCAGCCAGGGAGACAAGGGCACCTCGTGGTACATTATCTGGAAGGGATCTGTCAACGTGGTGACCCATGGCAAAGTGAGTTCTTCCTGTCTCCCCAGCCCCTGGGTTGTACCGGCTTCCCTGGTCCAAGTCCTCCCAGGAAGTACCTTCAATGGACCCAAGGTTGCCAATCTCCAGCTTTCCTCCTGCCTTGGGGTTCTCCCACCGTGCATCTGTTCTGAGTGTTGGGGAGCCTGGCTGGGCTGTGACTGAGACCTGGTTGCAGGGGCTGGTGACCACACTGCATGAGGGAGATGACTTTGGACAGCTGGCTCTGGTGAATGACGCGCCCCGGGCAGCCACCATCATCCTGCGAGAAGATAACTGTCATTTTCTCCGTGTGGATAAGCAGGACTTCAACCGTATCATCAAGGTGCCATTACTGGGGGTGGGGAGGGCAGGGGACGTGGCAGGGACATGTCTCTGGAGAAGTGGTAGGGGGTAAGGTAAGGGGCGTGGACAGAGAGGGCCTGTAAGGAGCAGGGAGAGGTAGGAGATGGGGGAACTTGGAGGTGATGGCTGGAGTATGGCCAAGTGAGGAGGGCCATAGCACATTGAAGAAGTTTAGCGAAACCCAAGAACTCCAGCTCAGTGCGGGAGACCGTGGGGGTAGGGGGTCACAGAGAGGTAGGGGACTAGGGTGTGAGGGGAGGCAGTGTAATGGAAAGGGGGAGCCACAGAGGGAGGCCAGTGAGGGATGGGTAGAGAGGGGCTCAGGCTGCATGATAGACAGGACTGGTAGGGCAGATCCAAGGCCATGGGCATGGAATGGGGTGGGAGGAGGGCTGAATGCCCTTGTGGGAGCCTTGTGGGTCTGGCATGGAGGTGGAGGGAGGTGCTCTAAAATGGGGAAAGGAGCCATGATGTGTGCTGAGCACTGGGTATGGCTTGTTGTCCAGGATGTGGAAGCAAAGACCATGAGGCTAGAAGAGCATGGCAAAGTGGTGTTGGTGCTGGAGAGAGCCTCCCAGGGCGCTGGCCCTTCTCGCCCCCCAACCCCAGGCAGGAACCGGTAACACACCCGCCATGCTCCTTCTGCACCCCTTCTCTCTTGCCCACCTTCTCTCCTTCCGTTTCCCAGGCTTTCCTCCCTTCCTCCGTGTCTGACCCCCGCCTGCTGGCCTCCTGGGGATGGGGGGAAGAGGGGCACCCAGGGATAAGATGTGCCCCCCCCCCAGAGCCAGCTTTCCCTCCAACCCCAAGGTGGGACAGAACTGGCAAATAGGGAAGAGTGAGATGATGTGATTGATTATTGATGTCTGTCCCAGATACGGGAGTGGGAGTGGTAGCACGTGTGCTATGGACTGGCTGTTTCTGCTAGGTATACAGTGATGTCTGGCACCCCAGAGAAGATCCTAGAACTGCTGTTGGAGGCCATGCGGCCTGATTCCAGTGCTCATGACCCAACAGGTAGGGGCAAGAGACACCCTGCCTGCTGTGTGTGACTCAGTGGGTGGGCAGTGTAGTCTGGGAGAGGGCCAGGCACCCTGAGTCTGACCTCACTGGCTGCTGGGCTGGTCCATGTGGTCAGTCGGCAACAAGTACTCATTCCTGTGCTCTTGGCTTGGGTGGGGAGAGCTGTCACAGCGGCTGGACGTTGCTGGCACACCGCCCATTATGGGACCGGGAGAAGGGCTACTCCAGCTATGCCTATGTCAGTGCTCAGTAGACTTAATCTCTGAAGCCTCCTCCTGTCCCCTTGTCCCTGCCCTACAGAGACATTTCTCAGCGACTTCCTCCTGACCCACAGTGTCTTCATGCCCAGCGCCCAGCTTTGTGCTGCCCTCCTGCACCAATATCCTTCCAGCCCCGGGGTGACTAGGATGTCGTATGGAGCAGGGGGAAGGCATCCCTCACAGCATGGCTGTGCCGAACCCTCTGAAGTACCAGCCTCATGCCAAGGCCAGCTTGTCAGTGGGCCCTGGGCATCCTTGCCCCTCCTTTCCTGCCGTGTGGTGGGTGGTCTGGTTGGATGTTGTGGTCCCCTTGACCGGTGCCCACCTTCCACGCGGAGCCCTCAGGAGGCAGTGAGCAGGAGCACAGCACCTACGTCTGCAACAAAAGGCAGCAGGTCCTGCGGCTGGTCAGCCAGTGGGTGGCCCTGTATGGTCCCATGCTCTACGCTGACCCCGTGGCCACCAGCTTTCTCCAGGTACCTGGGAGTGAGGCAGGGCTGGACTGGGCTGCCAGCGTAGATGCAGCCACCTCTGTGTTGATGAATCTTGGCTCCTCCCAGAAACTCTCAGACCTGGTGAGCAGAGACGCCCGGCTTTGCATCCTGCTACGGGAGCAGTGGCCGGAGAGGCGGAAACACCACAGGTAACGCCTGGCTCCCAGTCAACCTTCCGTATGAATGCCAGGCAGTGCATCAGGGACTGAGAACAGCACCCCTGGGGCCAAACATGTGGCTTGAAATCCAAGCTGCACCGCCTATAGCTGCGCCGCCCTGGGCACGTTCCTCCCTCTCAGGGCTTTGGGCTCCAGTCTGGAAAACCAGGAGAGATCCTATCTCAGGAGGACAAAATGTTAGCGCGCCTTAAGAGCACCGAGCGGTGCCTGGCACGCCCTGTGTGATCCACGAGCGTCGGCTGGGGTTGCTCATTTGTCTAGACCTGCTCGTTCAATTAGCTGTTCTTACCAGTCCCCTTGCTGTCCACCTCGCGTCATGTTCGTGCATTCTCCTGCATCACGCAGTCACTCCCGTGTCATTCTCATATCCCGAGTGCACCTGCTGTCCTCACTTCCTCCACTCTGCACATATTTATTACCAAGCATCCTCAGGGCTGGTTCCTGCTGGCCGCGCCCGGTGAATTCCCTAGAGCTTATCTTGGCCCTCCCAGACATTCCCATGGGGGCAGGTGAGGTTCAGGGAGAGCTCACCTGCAGTGGCCCCTGCCCAGTCCGACACCTGGGGTACTTCCTTGAACTCTCCTTCCCCTGCTGGCCTGGGGAAATCCCAGAGTGCAGGCTCTGGGTTGCAAGCCCCCGCTTTGCCCCTCTCTAGCTGGTGCTTACCATGTGTGCAAAACTCTGAGCCTCTGAGGAGGGTGGGCGGGATCCGGAGCCAGCCCTCCCTGCCCCTGCCCTGCCCACGGGGGCCCCTGGTCTCATCTCACCTCCCTTCTCATTTGCTCCCCAGGATGGAAAACGGCTGTGGGAATGCATCTCCTCAGATGAAGGTGTCTGCATATGAACTGGCTCCTCTCACCTCTGTCTGGCCCCGGCTTCTTCTCTCTGCCCGCCTCCGGGACCACACGGCCCCTCCAGCCCCCACCCCAGGGGCTCTGCCTGGGAAGGGATCCCCATGCACAGACACACCCCCGGGGCGGGGACAGGTGTTCACAGAGCACGAGCCATGTGTGGCACTGGAAGCTGGCCTGATGGGAGACACAGAGGTCCAAGGTCACCTCTCCACCCCTCCCTCACCCCAAGGGGCTTCTGTTGCATTTGGGAGGGAATCCATGTTCGCAGAGCCTGTTAGCAGTTCCCTGGGAGGTGAGGGATGGTTGCCTGAAGGCAGCCTCTGAAGCCCAGGGTTCTGGGTGCCCAGCACTCTGGGAGCCAGAGATGGCCCATACCGTTCCCGGCGGGGGCCCACAGGGAGCAAAGGGGAACGAGAACAGGGGGCAGGTGCTGAGATTTCTTGAGGCATGGTAGGAAAAAAAGACTGGAAAGGTAGGATGGGGCTGGTTGTGGGGAATGCTGCCCTGGGAAGAACAACCGGGCTCTCTGTGCCCAGCTGCCTGTCCCCACTCCTGCTCTTCCTGCCAGAGACTCTCACAGCTCCTCCTCTTCTACGGGCAATGCTTGTTCCCCCCTCAGGGTCTGGAACTTTCTTTCTCTGGTTCTTTGCCCACCTACATCCTTCCTATCTTTCTGATCTCAGCCAAAATGTTGGTTCTCAGAGAGGCCCCCCTCCCATCTCCCTATCGAGAGCATTCCCCACTCCCCGCAGGCCCCCTCTCTGCTTCCTCCAAGGTGTCTTCCATGATTCCCTTCAAAGCATTATGATCAGGTGGAGTCGTTTTGTTTCTTTGTTAGTGTCGGTCACATCCCACTAGAATGAGGGAAGGGCCTGGACATCTGTTTCCCCAGGGCTCCCACACTGCCCGGCTCGTGCCTGATGCTCAGGAACTAGTGTGGAATCGCCCTCGTGTGCTGGGCACTGTGCTAGGTGCTGACAATGTGGTAGTAGGGGAGAGCCGCCCCTGGCCTCGTGGGGTCATAGTCAAGTGAGGGCCAGAGCTGCTGAGCAGTGTCACGATGCAGGACAGGAAAGGAGGGAGTCTCTGAAAAGGGAAGGGCTGACTCGGGGTCAGGATCAGGGAGAGCGACCCCAGGAGCTGCGAGCTGCAGGGCGTGAGGTTCAAGGCAGTAGAGGACTGCAGTCAGGTTCAAGGGGAAGGGAGTCCACCGGTTAGGGACCCTGCAGGAGGGAGTGTGAGAAGGAGCGAGGAGACCGGGGAGGCATGCAGGGGCCACAACATGCAGGGCCCCGTGAGCCTCGGTAAGGGGTTTGGTGCTTGTTCTCCAAACCATGTGAGCAACTGGAGGTGTTGGAGCCATGGAATGACAAGGTCAGATGCGTGTTTTGAGTAAGTCAGCTAAGGAGCCTGTGCTTTATCCAGCAGACAATGATGGCCTTGAAGCTATATTAGGAAGCTTAGTCTGGCTCAGGTCAGGCAGATTGGAGGGGGAGGGCGGGAGGCGACCCAGGGCCGAGGGTAGAGAATAGTAGGGCCATTGTAACACACGAGGAGGGAGGCCACTGGGCAGGTGGAACAGGAGGTTGGCCTGGGCTGGGAGGAAGGGCGCAGAGGAACCCCCAGAACAAGATGACAAGCTGTGGGGAAGCCGGGCCAGGGGCGGGGGGCGGGGTCTGAACCTGGAGGATCTGCCACCTGCAGAGCTGGAGGAGGAAGAGTCAGTACAGGCATTGGAAGAACAGTCGGGCGGGCAGAGGAATTGCGTTCCAGAGGCGTTTGCCCATCAGGGCTGCCCCATCGGCCCAGTGTTGGGGCCCAGTGAGGAGCGGCTGTGGGACTGGACAGGGCAGGTGACACGGGGGAGTAGAGCATTGGTGGGTAAGAAGGGAGGGAGGGAGGGAGGAGCAGGTTAGGATTCCAGCTGTGCCACGTACAGCTGTGTGGCCTCATGCAGGTTATTAACCTCTCTGAGCCTCATTTATCTCCTCTATAAAATGGGAATAAGAATGATGATATTTTCGTCAAAGGGCTGTTGTGAATAGTTAGACACTTAGAATAAGCCTGTGCTCAGCCTGGCGTGTAGCAAATAGCAAACTAGCAAATGTGAGCCAAAGGAGGAAGAGGAAGAGAAAACCAGGGCCAACAGCTGAGGTGTGCTCGTATTAGAACAGCCCTGGATCAGCCCTGGATAGAACAGACCTATCTATTTGGCAAAGGGGGCGACACACATGTACTGGGCACTGGCTTGTTTGTAGCCCTGCTCTGGCTCTTCTCACAGAGCCGTGGCGCCCGACGCCCGCTGGGGCTCGGATTCCGGCCGCCAGCAGACCCCATGCGTGGGCCCCATGCTCCCGTGACAGAGCCCTCTCCCTGGCTCTGCGTGCTCTCCTCTGTGTCCTCCGGGCCTTACTTTCTCTCCCTCTTAGGCCAGGAACATGCCTGTTTGGCTCCCCGGCCAGGACCAGCCCCTCCCCAGCAGCAACTGTGCCATTCGAGTTGGGGACAAAGGTTGGTGGTCCCAGCCGGCCAGGGCATAGCCTGTACCCTGCCGTCGTCACCCTTGACCTTAGTTTGCCTGGCTGAGGAGGGCACGCTGGACTCCTCGGGGTCTCTGTTCCAAGCTGCCAGACAGAGTCTGCCCCCCGTGTGTCCCTCCACAGCTCAGGGCCTCCCTACCTACTCCGTGCGGCGAATCCCCCCAGGCTTCCCCTTGTCACCTGTCCTGCTTCCTGGGGATCCCCCGCCCCCACTGCTACCGTTGCTGCCCGCTGACTTCTGGGTAGGGGCACCAAGGAGCCCCTTCCTCCAGCTCAGCCCCGTCTTCCTTCCCCCTTCCAGTCCCCTATGACATTTACCGGCCGGACCACTCAGTGCTGACCCTGAAGCTGCCTGTGACGGCCTCAGTGAGAGAGGTGATGGCAGCGTTGGCCCAGGAGGATGGCTGGACCAAGGGGCAGGAGCTGGTGAAGGTCAACTCTGCAGGCGGTGAGTTGTGTCTCTGGGCAGGGTGGCCCCGAGGGAGAGGCCCCTTGGATCCGTGCCTAGACTCCCCCCCATATTAAGATCATCATTTTTATCATATTCATCGATGTTAATGATGGTTAGCATTTAAGGGCGGTTCGTTATGTGTCCTCAAAGTGATTGGTGTGTGGTGTTTAAGAGCGTGAGCTCTGGAGCCTGCTGTCTGCATTTGAGCCCCGCCGTGTCTGTAGGTCCTTGAGCAGGATATTTAATCTCTCTGTGCTCTTTTTAGCACCTGTAAAATGGGGCTGATGAGAGTGCCTACTTCACAGAGGAACTGTGAGCAGTGCATGAGCTCGTTTATTTAAAGGTTTAGAATGGCGTCTGACACAGCAGTTCGTACATAGGTTTTATTTATTTATTTATTTAAAAAAAATTTTTTTTTCAACGTTTATTTATTTTTGGGATAGAGAGAGACAGAGCATGAACGGGGAAGGGGCAGAGAGAGAGGGAGACACAGAATCGGAAACAGGCTCCAGGCTCTGAGCCATCAGCCCAGAGCCTGACGCGGGGCTCGAACTCACAGACCGCGAGATCGTGACCTGGCTGAAGTCGGACGCTTAACCGACTGCGCCACCCAGGCGCCCCCATAGGTTTTATTATTATCATGCTCATATATCCATTTAATCCGAGTAACGACCTTATTGAGATAGGTACTTTCATCCTGTTTGCAGACGGGGAAACTGAAGCTCAAAGGGGTTATAGGCAATTTTCCCAAGTCCACATAGTAAATGAGAGACTCTGGCTTTTGACTCTAGGTAGTCCTCATTCATTCTGTCAGCTGGCAAATGTATTTGAGAGTCAGCTAGTGGGCCAGCGAGGTGTTGGGAGATAGAGGCACCATGGCAGGTGAGATGGAGGAGTTTGATGGTTAGGACCAGAAACAGGACTCCCGGACCTGGGCTGGGATCCCAGGACCCACTGCTGGCTAGCTGTGTGATCCTGGTCTGAGCAGAGCGCTTATCGGATTCCTCGTCTGTCACATGAGCACTAAAACTGCACCTATCTCACAGGACTGCTGTGGCCATTAGACAAGATAACGTATATAAAACATTCAGCACGAGGAGGCACAAAGTTAGTGCTCAGAACGGGGCAGCGTGAGAATTATTTAGACCTGCTTTCAGGGAACTTGGGCCATCAGAAACTGCTGCGAGTTCTCCGTGAAGGACACAGCCCCGGGGTTGACAGCTGGAGCCCAGGGTAGACAGGAATTAGGGGTACCCAAAGAATGAAGGCAAGGAGTGGAGGCCAGAAAAGCAAAACCTTCTCCCCCTCCAGGAAGTGGGGAGACAGGATGAAGTCATGGGTGCCTGTGCTCTGTTCTGGGAAGCACCGCCCTCTGGTGGCCACCTGGAGAATTACAGTTGTCCAAGGACTTGATTGACACCCTACTATGAGGCAGAAGCTGTTTAGAGCACTGACCTTCAGATTGTTTAGATGGACTTCCATGTCAGTGACTCATATTTTGACCACAAGCCCCCTTCTATGTGTATATTTGCTTGTAAGTCATTTGCATATAGTCCTATACTAACATCGTATCAAGCTGCCTGCGACGTAAAAATGCAAAACAGAAGAGAAAAATAAATATGAGGTAATACTGTTTTGGACACATGGATGGTCTCGTATATCTGGCTTTGGTGGCTACTGGCCTACAGAATGGGGACTCGAACGTGACTAAAAACACAGTCTCGGTCAGTAGGAAGTGGTGATAATCAACACTAAGACCTCTGTCAGGCATTTCCAGTTTTCAAAGGGCTTTTCTATGCATCGTATACTTATGGCCACTACTTCCATAAATTAGTTTATTAGACTCGTGAGTAGTCAGGGTAAGTCTTGCTGTCTCCATGTGACCAAGGAGGAAGCTCAGGAAGACTCCAATATTGCCCAAGCTCTGCCTGTCTCGCTAAGAGCCCTGTCTCATCTTCCTCGGGTGTGCTGACCTGGGCAGTGCGGGTGTGTGGGCACCTGCCCCTGTGCATTCAGAGCATCTGCCCAGGACTCCAACCTGGCTGCTGGCAGAAGGGGCCTCCCAGCCTCCCAAATGGGGCCTCTACCCTGCCTTCAGTGGCTCCCTGGCCTCCCTCTCTGCACCCCGACCCCTCCCAGCCCACTCTCTGCTCTCTTTGCAGACGCCATTGGCCTGCAGCCAGATGCCCGTGGTGTGGCCACATCGCTGGGGCTCAACGAACGGCTCTTTGTTGTCAGCCCACAGGAAGTGCGCGAGCTGGTAGGAACAAGCTGTGTTTTAGGGGTGGCAGAGGTGGGTGCAGGGGAGGGTCATAGAGAGGGGAGAGGGGGGCCTGGCTCTGGCTGCTGCTGGACGTAAGGGAGAAGAGGAAGGAGTGGGCCTCAGCGGATGGGAACGTTCCAGTTGCTGGGGAAGGGAGAGAGCCGGTTGAGAGCTCTCAAGGAGAAACAAGAACCCCCCTGTTGGGGGCTCCCCCAGGAGACAGGAGCCGTACAAGGAGGGGGTCTCCGCACTGGGGAGCCAGCAGGAGACTAGATGCCTCTTTGGGAAGCCCTATGCCTCAGAGGCCCTTCCGTTCTGGTAGCAGCCCTACCTGCCCAGACACCCCTTCAACCACAGGCACGGAGTCTCCGCCCCCAACTCTCTCCTTCCCTGCGCCTGTCCCCTGGGTTGCTCAGGCACCCCTCCTGAGCTCTCTTCCACCTGCAGACCCCGCTCCCCGAGCAGCTGGGGCCCTCCGTGGGCTCTGCTGAGGGGCTGGACCTGGTGAGTGCCAAGGACCTGGCGGGCCAGCTGACGGACCACGATTGGAACCTCTTCAACAGTATCCACCAGGTGCGGAGGCAGAGAGGGGAGGGGAGAGGCGCAGACGGCAGGGGCACCTCGCCCGGTGTGGGCTGATCTCCCCTGCTGTCCCCCATCCAGGTGGAGCTGATCCACTATGTGCTGGGCCCCCAGCATCTGCGGGACGTCACCACCGCCAACCTGGAGCGTTTCATGCGCCGCTTCAACGAGCTCCAGTACTGGGTGGCCACAGAGCTGTGTCTCTGCCCTGTACCCGGCCTGCGGGCCCAGCTGCTCAGGAAGTTCATCAAGCTGGCTGCCCAGTGAGTACCTGTGGGGCCGGTGGGTGTGTGACAGAGCCCTGAGGCCACCTTCTCTCACATCCCCGTCCCTGCTCAGTCGAGCCCCAGGTCCCCACCCCATCTAGCCCCAGCCCCCACAGAGGCAGTGCTGGCCCCGCCTGGTCCTGGCCCCAGGCTGGCTGTTGCCTGGGTGTGGGGTCTCCGTGGGTGTGGCTGCTTCCCCTGAGGGCCTCTGGGTCTTCCGCTCACAGCCTCAAGGAGCAAAAGAATCTCAACTCTTTCTTTGCCGTCATGTTTGGCCTCAGCAACTCGGCCATCAGCCGCCTGGCCCACACCTGGGAGGTAGGTATGATCTGGCGAGGTGGCGGGGGGGGGGGGGGGTGCCCATCCCGGGAGTCCCGGTTGGGGATGGGGCTCCCGTCCCAGAGCAGTGACCGCTCCATCTGCCTGTCCTTTGCAGCGGCTGCCCCACAAAGTCCGGAAGCTGTACTCGGCCCTGGAGAGGCTGTTGGTGAGCGCTGGGCCTTGGCTCCTCCTGCCAGAAACCCTGATTCTGGGCTTCCCAGCAGCCCTTCTACATGTCTTTGGTCACTTCCAGGGTTTCCAGCCCTGGGTCAGAGCCTGACTCTCTCTGGGCTGAGAGTCTGGGCTGCTGGCCGAAGGACGGAGTGTGAGCGTTATGAGGGAGCTGCGCAGTGCATTATATCCCTCAGTGCGGGGAGCATTGGCCGTAGCTATGACGTCCTGTATGAAGACCAGGACAGGGCCCACGTGGGGTCTGGCCTTGGGCTCTGATGCACCAGGGGAACATCAGGGGATCTCCGGTCTCCAGCCGACCTGCCTCAGGACCCTGGAAGCAAGTCCTGGCCCCAGACCCCACGGTGCACCGGGGCCTGTCAGTGGCCCCTCAGGGGATGCGGGGAGCCCGTGGGCTAAATTAGGCCAAATGATGAGGGAAGAGTAGGGGAGCCGACTGCCTCTCCCACTCCTCCTCCCTGCTAGGAATTGTTGGGGGGCTAAGAGGTTTGGAGAGTGTTCAACAGAGAACTGGCACAAAGGTGCTTTTGTCAGCCTGGCTCTGAGCTCTTGGGAACAAAATTCCCTTTGCAGGCTCAAGAGGTTCAAAGGAATTTACTTGCTAGAGAGGGACAGGGGCAGAAACGAGAGAGAGAGAGAGAGAGAGAGAGAGAGAGAGAGAGTTTTGAAACCTGGAGGGCCCCTGAGAGACTAATGGCCGTGAAGTTTGCTTGGGGGGGCTAACCAGAGGCCAGGAAGCAGCGTGCGCGCTGGCTGGCTGAGTGCTTCAGGTCTCCTCCCACCTCTGCAGAGCCCGCTGTGGTGAGACCTGGGGCCCAGGGGAAGCGGAGCTCTGAGAGGATGGTGTTTGCTTGTGTCGTGGTGCGTGGTGGGTCATGCTGAGCGGGGCCCTCCCTCGCTCACTGTGGCTTCTTCCCTCTCAGGACCCCTCGTGGAACCACCGAGTCTATCGACTGGCCCTCACCAAGCTCTCCCCTCCCATCATCCCCTTCATGCCCCTTCTTCTCAAAGGTAATAGGACCAGAGCTTACCCTTCTGCCTCCGCCCTTCCAGTCCTGTGCCCGTCTGTATGTCTGTCTGACCCTCGGGGTGCTGACACGTTGGGGGCACAAAGATGAGTGAGGAGTTCCCAGGCTGGAAGCAGTGTTGAGACATGCAGGCAAGTGCTGGTGACATCAGATGGTGTCTGATACGAGAGGCCTAAGGGATACAAGGAAATTGCTCCAGGAGGTCAGAGGGGAACCGGAGGAAGAGAGCAGTGTGGGGCTGGGACAGACCCAAGGCTCTCATTATTGGCCCTTCGCCTTTCCTGGGCTGCAGGAAGGGGAAGAGCTTTGGGGACCTTTAAGCAAAACCCATCTCTTGACAGACATGACCTTCATCCATGAGGGAAACCACACGTTGGTAGAGAATCTCATCAACTTTGAGAAGATGGTGAGTTCAAGGACAGTTGAGAGTCTGCCCCTGGAGTGGGCTGGAGGATATGACCGTGGCCGTGGAAGGAGGTGGGGGGTGGGGCAGGAGATAGTCTAAAGGTATTATTAACAATACAGCTATGGGGGTGCCTGGGTGGCTCAGTCGGTTAAGCGTCCGACTCTTGATTTCGGCTCGGGGCGTGATCTTGCGGGTCGTGAATTTGTGCCCCACGTTGGGCTCTTCGCCGACCCTGCAGAGCCTGCTCGGGAGTCTCTCCCTCTCTCTCTGTCCCTCCCTGGCTTGTGTGCTCTCTGTCTCTCTCCAAATAAGTAAATAAACTTCAAAAAATAATACAAATACGAATACTTCTTTTAAATAGCCCCTGCTTCACTCCCTTGCATAGTGGAGAGGACAGCCTTTATCACCTCACCCTGCAACCAAGGCCCTCCAGGCCTCTTCCGCTCTAAGCCCTTCCTGATCTCTGTTCTTTCTCGCACTGCCTGCTTCCTGCGGGGCCGTTGGGTAGGCCGGGGCAAAGCAGACATGGCCCCATCTAGTCCCCGGGAGCGCCCCGCTCAAAGGGGGCTTGGTTACTAGCTGACCCACGGGCCACGCCAGGGTCCTGCCCCTCAGGCCTGGTCTTCTGTCCTCACAGAGAATGATGGCCAGAGCCGTGAGGATGCTGCATCACTGCCGAAGCCACAGCAATGGTGAGAGGGCTGATAACACTGCTAGGAGCCCCCGCCCCACCTCGTCCCCTTCCAGGCTCTGGCTCGGCCCAGTCTCCCTGACTCCCCCCCCCCCCTCACCCCACGCAGTGCCCCTCTCACCGCTCAGAAGCCGCGTCTCCCACCTCCACGAGGACAGCCAGGCAGCCAGGACATCCACGTGTAAGTGGGGCAGGGCTGGGTGCTGACGGGTCAGCCACGGCTGGCGTTTACAGGCACTTGCACGTATGATGCCCTGAGCTCTCCCCCACACCTCTGTGATGTAGGTAGAATGTTATCCCAGCTTACAGATGCACAAACAGGCCAGAGCACTGAAGTGACTTGGGCAAGGCCCCACAGTTAGTGACTCCAGGCCTGATTTTTTGGTTGGTCTTGAGCTGCGTGAAGTGGGAGTAAATCATAAGCCACAGTTCATGTAACACTGTCATCATCGGCCCTTTATTTTATTTTATGTATGTATATATTGTGATAATATGATGAACACTGCTGGGCCCCAGCCAAGTGTGAGCACATTGACAAGAGCTTCCCCTCCCTACAGACCGTTTCCTCTTCCTGTGCCGCTAGAATATATTTATTTAGATATATTTATAAATATATAGACATATATACACACACGTGTACGTGTACATATCTCTTTAACGTGCTTCGTATATATGTTATGAGCACAAAATATTCTTTAGTTTCAGATGTTTTTGAATTTAGTAAAAGGAGTACTATGCTGTATGGAATCTTGGGGACCTGTTTTTTTCTGAGTCTGAGCTCTTAACCACCCTTCTGCTCCAGACTGGGGTGGGGGGGGGTGGACAGTCTTCAGGACTGGCTGTGGGAAACGGCCGGGTGGGGGGGTGGAGAGCAGCAAGTGTCGTTTGCTCTTTGTGGGAGAAGGGATGGGCTCTACCGAGTGGCATGGGTGCCCCCCCCCCTCTCCTCCCCACCCCCACTCCCAAGTGGCATGGGTGACCCCCCCTGACCACTCTCCCCTACGCCCTCCCCTTCCCCCACCCCCACAGGCTCCGAGCAGTCGCTGAACACCCGGAGTCCAGCCAGCACCTGGGCTTATGTCCAGCAGCTGAAGGTCATCGACAACCAGCGGGAACTCTCCCGCCTGTCCCGGGAGCTGGAGCCGTGAGGAGGCTGGGGCCCGAGCGGGCACTTCCCGTCAGGAAAGCCAGGGCACGCCCGGGGCCAAGAGGCCCACAGGCTGGCCACAGCTGGGCAGGGCTCTCCGCAGAGTGGACTCAAGGCCCTGGAGCGGGCAGCGTGGAGGCAGCTGTCCCCTGTGATGACGGGTGGCCAAGGAGGACCTCGGAATGGAATGAGCCGGGGCCCAAGGCCAAGGAATGGGGGGCAGAGAGGCCCTGGAGTGGGTGGGAGAGCAGAGCAGGTGCTGGGACTCTGGGTTCAATAGAGAGCTCTCCACACCAGGTTTTTCCCAGATTCTGTGTCTTGTGGCTTTGTTGTCAGGCCATCTGTAGGCGGTTTGTTTTCGCAGCGGACAGAGGGAGCCTGTCACATCTGTGCGGCAGCGGGTGTGTGGCAGGGGCAGGGTGGCCGCCTGGGGAGGGGCACGGGGGAGGGGCCGTCCTGCTTTTCTTCCCAGAGCACAGGAGATAAACAGTCGGGTGTGGCCAGGGCTGTTCCTACGGGCAGGGGGGGCAGGCGTGATGGTCCCTGGGGAGCCTTACCATTAACATGAATTAACCGGGATGCTGTGTTCCCAGGCCAGCCCTGTTGGGGCATGGCAGTGAAGGCGACACCCTCCCAAACTCAAGAGCTGAGGAGGAGGTGCTGCGCTCCAGAGTGGACCCAGAGAGGCTGACAAACGGTCCCGCTGGTCTCTGGGGTCCAGGCAGGGCGCCAAGATGGCTGACCGCCATCCAAACCTAACCCCCTGACCACAGGGGCCGGAGCGGCTGCTGGAGCCTGGAGGCCCTGTCAGTGGCCGGCCGGGGCGACCCTTGGCTCTCCAGTGTGGTCTGCGAGCACTGTCACAGCCCAGCTGTGACTAACTTCCTCCACCCTCGCCTCCTGGCTGCACTTGCTGTCCCTCTCTGCCTGCAGCACGTCTCAGCCTGTTGGGTGGTCCTCACCATGAACCGGGGCTTCAGAGAAGCGGCAGGTGATGCATAGAGAACACTGAGGCCGAGGCTTCGGAGGGGAGCCCATCCCTTTCTGAGCCACAGCCGGATCCCGGGAAATCCAGTCTCTTCTCAGGGATGAGAATGGTCCCAGCAAGCTCCGTCAGCATTCAGTCCTTCCCTCCCCTGCCCTGCAGCAGCCCCCTCTCTCCCTAGGGCCTCCTTCCTCTCAGCAGGGGGAGGTGCCCTGTCTGGCCCGGAGAAGGATCTCTTGGCCTTGGGGATGACCTCAGAGTAGGTATTGAGCAGCCGGGCCCTAGGGCGTCTGGAGGCCATGGGCCCATACCTGGAGGTGGACTAGACAGCTGGTGTGGCTCCGTACTCGCTCAAGTCCTCCTCCCCTCACCCCTGCACTGCCAGACCTCTCTTCTCCCTGTGGTCATGGACACACACACAAACTGCTTCCGGAGAGAATTAGAGCCCTTCACAGGAGGCGGCACAGCTGGGATCGTACCTCAGGTTTCTGAGTGAACGTGAGCAAGTTAAGGAACAGTTCTCCGCTTCCATTTCTCCATGGGTAAGGTGGGTGTGATGGTCTCAGTCCAGCTCTAAGTGAAAAGCAAGTCAAACTATAGCCCTGCCTCAAGGGCCAAGGAGACGGCCTCGGCCCGACGGGGTGGGTGGCAGCAACAGGGTGAAGCTGGGCAGAGCCCACTCCTCCAGGGAGAGACTGGGTAGGGCAGGTGGCAGGGTGCCCAAGCCCGTTCCCTTGCCTGTGGGTGGAGATGCAGGACCACGGGGCACAGAAGCTGCCAGAGCTGAGCAGTCATGACATGAGGCCCCAGCCTTGGTGAGTCAGGACTCCCAGGGGCTCACTTCCCCCCTGAACGCATTGTCTGCTGGGGTTTGGTCAAAGGCCAGACCGGCCTGCCGGCCACAGCCCTTCACCATCCTCTCAGACCCGGGGGCGAGACCGGCTCTGCAAAGACAGCGTGGAAGCCAAGCGTGGTCGGGGCTGGTGTCCTTGTCAGCATTCCTACTTGTCTTCTCTGGGGCCACATCGATGTCCCTTCTGCCTTGAACCACCCCACAACCTCCCAGCTGCCTCAGTCCCTTGGACACGCCTTTCGAGCCTGTTGGGAGAGGCTTTGCCAGGAAAACAGTGCCCAGGACGGGCAGAAAGTCACAGACGGGGCTCTGGAGACCCTGGTACCTGGGCTGGGTCACCATGGAGGAGGGAAAGGCTCCAGGTCATGGTGGCTTCTTGCTCTTAGGGCCACACCACCTCTGTCTCCCTGACCGCCTAGGCATGGGGGTGCTGGGGGGCATCCTCTCGTGTCCTAGCGGCCCAGGCTGTGCTCAGAGGGCTCCCAGGTGGTGTCCCAGCTTCAGGACAGCTGTGGCGGGTGGAGAAACTCGTGGGACTGCCGGGAGAAGAAAGTATAAGAGGAGGCCTTTAAAAAAAAACCCTCTCTTGGGGCGCCTGGGTGGCGCAGTCGGTTAAGCGTCCGACTTCAGCCAGGTCACGATCTCGCGCTCCGTGAGTTCGAGCCCCGTGTCAGGCTCTGGGCTGATGGCTCAGAGCCTGGAGCCTGTTAAAAATAAACGTTGAAAAAAAAAATTTAAAAAAAAAAAACAACAAACAAAAACCCTCTCTTACCTAAAAGGAGGTAAAGCAGAGAGGGAATGTGTGCGCGTGTGCACACGTGCTCCGAGAGGAGGAACAGAATGTAGCAGATCACTCTTCCTCTCCAGTACACCCACGTACTCACCCCTCCCTCACCCCTGACCCCTCGCTTCCTTGTGAAGGCCGGGACGCTAATTGTGGGGTGCGTCCAGGGAGGGTCACGCCTCTCCAGCAGGCCGAGCAGGATCTGGTGAAAGGGTAGGGCAGGCCGGGAGCCCAACTGTCGGACCTTCCGTCTCCTCCAGCTTTTCTCCCTGGGAGCCAGCCCTCCTCTCTCTCTCTCTACGAGTCCTGGGCCTCTGGCCGCTAGGCTTCCCAAGCAGCAAAGATTAATCTCAATATTGCTGTTACTCAATAGTATTTCCCATGCTGATTTAGATTTGAAGAGTTTTCATCCTCTCCAGCATACTTTCACCTCTAGTATCTTATTTTTATGCTGATAATAAGGCAGGTGCTTTTGCCCCACCCCACCCCCATTGTACAGTCAAATTGAGGCACAGAATGATCTGCCTAAGGTCACAGAGCTGGCTAATAAGCAGGTGGACTGGTGGAGACTGGGTGTGTTATCAGCTGGGCCCGTGCCATGGGCCTTAGCTCACCCCTGCCCTTTCCTGGTGCCCCTGGCGCTCCAGATGCAATCTCCCTTGAACCCCAACATTTTCTTCTCTTATAGGAACGGGCCCAGGCATGGACATTCCCCCCTCCCTCACTTCACGTTTGAAATCTTACATAGTAGGGGCTCTGTGAATGAGACAGGCAGTCCTGGCCCTCATGCAGCAGACCACCCAGCCAGGCAGACAGACAGACAGACAGACACAGAATGAGGCTGTCAGAAGGGGCAGGATGCGCAGAGAGCAAGTCCAGAGAGCGGAGGGTGCCTAGGGCCGTGCGGTCTCACTGCTCACCCCCAAGCATTTAGGCACAGCTCTGCCTCGCAGAGTTGGGGGTTCTCTCCACTTACCACTGGTGAGAGCCACTGAGTATCCTGAGCATCAGACAGGTATAGTGGCTGCTGGCCGGGGCAAACTCTGGCCTGACGGTTGTTCTTGATTGCTTCTTCCCTCCCACGGACCAATAGACCAGAATGTAAATGCATTTCCAAATGTATCCTCACGCCCTGCCCCGTACACAAGTGCTAGGCTTCTCACACAGCTGCCGGAGGTGGGCGGAGGGGGGCCTGGGCCTGACCTAACAGTCCCCTTAGGCCTGTCCAGTTGCCCCAGACAATCCAGGTATCTGCCCCTGAGATTCTAGACTCTTCAAGACCCGAGCCCCACCCTCCTGTTGCTCAGCTGGACATGGCGCCTTGTGGCCCCGGTGATGAGCGGCTGTTGTCCCTCCCTGTGATGATGAGAGCAGATCCCTCTGAGAAGCTGAGTCTGACTCAGCTGTGCTTTCAGAGCATCTTGTTAGTCATGCCTGGGGCCTTCCTGGAGCAGGTGGCCCCGCTGGGGCCAGAAGGGATGCTGCTGGTGGTAGGTGGAACACTGTGGAAGGAACATGGGCCCAGTGACCCCCAGAAGAAGAGGAAAGCTGCGTCCAGAGCTCAGATCCACTTTTTAAGGGAAGGTGGGGGATTCTAGTTGCTTGCATATGTTTAGACTTCAACCAGCGTGGACGCTGGGTGAAGGAGCCCTATGTATAGGGCCTCATCTGACTCTGCCCGACATGTTCTCAGCCCTTGGGGAGAACTCAAGGCCTCAGTTGTCTGGCTCGGTGTGAGGTGTGGGCAGCCGGAGCAGTTGCTGGGTTGCTGAATGGAGGAGAATGCAGGCTTTCCTGGCACCAAGGGGACTGTAGCCATCAGACGGATGGAGGGAGGGTGACTTTTTGCTGGGGTCATGACAGCGAGGCATTTTTAGCTTACTCTGCCTTCCAGAAAGGTGCCCTGTAAACCAGAGCGCAAGGCGGCACAGGTGGGTGTCAGGGCAGCCCTCCGTGGGTGGCAGCGAGTGGAGTCAGAGGGGCCTAGGCCTCAGCGGCCACGTGGCCTTGGGCAAGTCCCTTCCTCTCTTTCCCTTGCTTTCCCGATTTATAAACAGGGATATTGACTAGAAGGGTTTGGGTTGTAGTCCCACTCTCAGTGTCTTGACTTAGGCTGTGCAAGGCAACGGGAGATGAGGGGGCAGCGACCCCTCTTGGTCATAAAGCTGCGACTCTCCGAGCATCTTCCCAGTGGTGGCCTCCAGCCAGGACGGAGTGTCAGCTGCGAGCAATTTTTTTAGAAGGATTTTCAGAGAGTCCCCTACCCCTAAGTATTGCCTCCTGCAGCCTGCCTGAGCTCTGGTTGTCTGTAGAAGGCCCCTGTTGTGTAGATACATAACTTGGGAAGATTCTAATGGTCTAATGGTCACTTGAAGGGAGAACTAGAAAGCAAGAGCTCTGAGGCAAGGCAGTAGGGGAGTTTTCATGACACTGGGCGAGGGGCAAGGCCCAGAGTATCACTTGGGGAGCACTGGGTAGCGCAGGGCACCTCAGGGCGAGGCAGGTGGCCGGCTTCACCTGCTCGGCTTTGCTGGGGCCGGTCCTGCAAGGGGCAACCCATGCAGAACAGGAGCCTGCGGGTCCCACGTGGACTCTGGTGGCTCACGGAGGAGGTCGGCCTTCTCGATCTCTCTTCTTCTCTTGGTTCTTGACTTCTGTGCTGGGAAGCTGCTGGGAATATCATCAAA